CCGAACCGAACGGAACCGAACAGACTCGAACCGAACCCGAACGATTATATATTTATATTTGGACCCGACGGGTCCATTTATTAAATACCCGAAAGTTTTGGATCGGTTCGGATCTCTTCAGAACCGAACCGACCCACGGACAGCCCTACCTGTTTGATTTGACAAAAATTACATTTTGAGTAAATTTTAATAAAAATTGAAGAAATATATTGTTGAAAAGTTAATAAAAGTTTTAAATCTCGTAAAATGTAAAATTGAAAATAAATTTTTAAAAAATAAATTTTAAACAGAACAATGTTAACAGCATCCAATTGGAAGCATCCTCTATCCGTGGTGCAGGAGACCTTACTACACCTTAACAAAGCCGATCTTCCTATAGAGTCTTCCAGAACCCCAGACTCCGTCCACGTCTAATAAGCTAGCAACAACCAATCACGTGTCGCCACGTTGTATCGGTCTAACTTCTACCGTCAGATCTTCCACGCTGGAAAATCTTAACCAATCAATAAACTCTGCTCGTAAACCCGTTGCCATGTCAGACTATATGATCTCCATACATATGCTCGCTCACTCACTACAAAAACCAACTGAAAAGAATTTGAATAAACACTGTAATTGGAAAAATCCACATCAAATTGCAGTATGAGGAAGTGGACAATCCCTTCCGTTATGTTTCTGCTATGTCTTCTGTTTCTCCTTCCAGATCAAGGTACTTAATCAGCATTATGATTATGATTTTTTACGTTTAATTAACCTAAAAATGTACGAAAGCTTCTGATTAATTCGAATTTGATTAATTTGTACTGATTTTACAATGTAGGAAGGAAAATACAAGCTCATGCGGAGAGTGACTCCGACGTGCCGGTAGATCTGCCGAAGGTTGAAGAAAAGATAGGTGCTGTTCCGAGTGGTTTGTCCACAGATTCTGATGTCACTAAAAGGTTAGTGGCATTTTTAACAAATTGTTATTTAATTTGAATGTATTGAAGAGTGCAAAGATGTTTATATACGTTTTGGGATTTAGGGAAGCTGAGTCGATCTCAAGGAGATCTCTTCGCGCAAATGCGGAGAAGTTTGAGTTCCAGGCGGAGGTTTCTAGACTTATGGATATTATTATCAACTCTCT